TGACCAGGGTCTGTGCACCCTTTATACTTCTGGCCCCAAGGGAGCCTTCCTCCATGGATATTACATCACCAACTTCTCCATCCAGAAATCGAACTCCCCACCCTGAGGTTGCAAGCCCAACAATGCCCATCCTTTACCAACTTGGATGTGCCCCGAATTTCTTTTTTCTTTTAACCCAAATTGGACTTTGTTTATAAAACTATTATTTCAAATGATCAATCGACATACGTATATACGACATGAACCACCGTCTACGAGCTTATTTATCATCCATACATTTTTGTACTTCAAATAAAAGATTTCCTAAACAAGTAGTTATAGTTGCATAATTCTTGACCAAAGAACCTTAAAGAATTGGCTAAAACTAAGTTAAAATTAATTGTATAATAATAAAGTATCAAACATTAATTTCGAAAAATAAATATTAACTTTTTTATAAAAAAAAAAGGATAAATTATAAGCATTGCGAGAAAGAAAAAAAGAAGCTCTTTTCGGAGGTAGGTGTCCCTCAAGAATGTGGCTGAGCTGTTCTAACTTGTTCCAAATATTTTTCTAATGAGCTAACCTCCGTCCCTCTCTCTCACATACACACTCTTTTTCCATTGTAGAAGTGAATAATGATGATGATTATTATCTTTCTCTGTTCTTGAAAAAGTTGAGAAAGAAGTGGGTTTTTTTACTTCNTCTGTTCTTGAAAAAGTTGAGAAAGAAGTGGGTTTTTTTACTTCTTTTTTTCTTTTTGAGTGATGTCTTAATCTACTTTTTAATAATTTCTCCTACAAGTGCCTGAATCTAGCAACAAAGATACCCACAAAAGTGATCAAACTTTAAAGAAAAATGAATCTCGAATCAGCAGATTTTGTAGAGGTTGATCCAACTGGAAGATATGGCAGGGTAACTTAATTTCTTACTCTTCCCTTTTTGCCAATGAGTTTTTTGAATTGGATTTGGATTTGAAATTTAGGGTTTCATCTGTAATTGTTTTGGCTGCAGTACAATGAGATTCTTGGCAGAGGAGCTTCAAAGACAGTGTATGAAATTTCTTCTAAGAAATGGGCTATTTTTGTTTTGTGTTAAAGATCAACACTTGGTTTTTTAATGGGGTGTTTCGGATCAAAGTGCAGCAAATTTATGATCTTAATTTGATTGATTTATGCAGATATAAAGCATTTGATGAGTATGAAGGGATCGAAGTTGCTTGGAATCAAGTTAAGCTATATGATTTACTACAGAGCCCTGAAGATCTCGAAAGGCTTTACTGTGAAATTCATTTGCTCAAAACTTTGAAACATAAAAACATTATGAAATTCTACACTTCTTGGGTTGATACTGCCAATAGGAACATCAATTTTGTCACTGAAATGTTCACTTCTGGTACTCTTAGACAGTAAGTATGATCCATTTTATGTTCTATGGTATTATTGTAGTGCTATTAGATTGTAATTTCGGTTTAGGAATCCGATCTTTTTGTTTTTGTTCGAGTTTAATAGGTACAGATTGAAGCATAAAAGAGTAAACATTAGAGCAGTGAAACATTGGTGTAGGCAGATCTTAAAAGGGCTGCTTTATCTTCATAGCCATGATCCACCTGTGATCCATAGAGATCTCAAATGTGATAATATCTTTGTCAATGGGAACCAAGGCAAAGTGAAAATTGGGGATCTTGGTTTAGCCGCTATCCTGCAGAAATCGCACGCTGCTCATTGTGTTGGTATTTTCCGTTCCAGTTTGTTGTATTATTGCCAATATTTGTAAATGAAAATTAGTTTCCTTGATTATTGAGCTAACTAGTATTTGTGAGTGCGATAAAGATTTTAATCCTGGGATTTTCGTTTGATTAGGGACGCCTGAATTTATGGCTCCTGAAGTGTATTTAGAGGAATACAACGAATTAGTTGACATATATTCTTTTGGGATGTGCATATTGGAAATGGTAACGTTCGAATATCCATATAGTGAATGCAGTCATCCTGCTCAGATATACAAGAAAGTTATATCCGTAAGTCTTCCTCCTTTTGAGTCGAGCTTTTTTGACATTTCTGTCATTTTTCTCTAGTGACACTGTCAAATATTTAGGGGGAGAAACCAGATGCTTTATACAAAGTGAAAGATCCTGAGGTACGCCAGTTTGTGGATAAATGCTTAGCCACTGTTTCTCAGAGACTCTCAGCTAAGGAGCTTCTTGACGACCCTTTTCTTCAAATAGATGATTGCAACTTGGAATTAAGGCAAATAGAGAACCACAGAGATCTAAATCATGTGGATCCTTTATTGAGACAGCCTTGCATCGAACGAGATTACGAAGGAAATTCGTTTACGAATCATTCATTTGAAGGATACTCTAATGGTTATAATTTTGAAGAATCCAATGGATGGGCTTATAATCCGATAGAGGTCGGGCATAGTGGAATTGAACTGTTTGAGCGTAATGAAGATGAACATGATGAAGATTTTCCCGAGCTCGATATAACTATTAAGGGTAAGAGAAAAGAAGATGGTAACATCTTTTTGAGACTCAGAATGTCGGATAAAGAAGGTTAGCAACATAATACAACTATTCGAGTGTATTTAATTTAATTAGTTATTCATTTTACTCTGATCAACTGCATTATGATTTCTCCTTTTGCAGGTAGGATCAGAAACATATACTTCCCGTTTGACATTGAAACTGATACAGCATTAAGTGTTGCAACTGAAATGGTTGCTGAGTTGGATATAACCGATCAAGATGTCACTAAAATAGCCGATATGATTGACGGAGAAATTGCTTTACTGGTTCCAGAATGGCGACCAGGGCCCGGATATGATGAGACTCCCCGATTTTCAAATTCCAACTTCTGTCTTAATTGTGCTTCTAATCATACCTCTACGGGTTCATTCTTGAATTTTCTGTCAAATAATCCCGGTGCAAAACCTTTGCAGTTTTTACAGTGTTCAGAAGGATGTACTGCTACACATGGACGGTTTGAAGAATTCACTTATCGAGTTGATAGTCCCCATCAAAATGAATCCAATGCTGCCAATAAGCCACCTTTACCCAATCGTCCTAATGGTTTCCTTTGTGACGAAATTTTGAATCAGAATGAAAGTCATGAATGCAGCTCAATAGGCTCCGGTGAAAGTCATTATCAAGAAGAAAAGCTAGATAAAGAAAGTAGCATAGAGGACAAGACAGAGGCGATTAAGAAGAAAAACACTTCCAGTACAAGAATGTTTTCGAAATCTTTATCCGACTCCCTTTCATTTGCCGGGATTCACACATTGACCGAAGATATACCTGTCGACTACGACGACAAAATTCAACACCAGTTGGGATGGCTTAGAGTAAAGAATCAGATAGAAGTGCAGAAACTTACAGATCAATGGTTAAAATTTCCTCCAAGATGTTCAAATCATTGTTCGACTTTGGATAATAGTGACCGAAAAGATGAAGCTGGGATCGTATCGTACAAAACTCTCGGACTTTCTGATTATGATGAGAACACGAGTTTGAAAAGCTGCCCGAGTTCGGACCCCGTAAGGGCTGGAAAATCCGAGGTGGATATTCAAGAGAGTTTGTTCTCTAGTTCATTGCTTCCTCAAAAACTTCGGAGAACAATATCCTTGCCAGTAGATGCTGTTGATTTATGATCTGTAAGAGTTGTCTTCATTAAATTTTTTTTAGAACTATAGAAGCTATAAATTATCACATAACCTTAATTCATTAGATTCCTTTTCTATTAGTAAAATTTTGCACTTAGGTTGTCATTCATTTTCTTTGATATATAGATCTTTAAATTTCAATTTTGTAGCGGGTCCATAGACGTGGGCTAGAGCTTCTAAACTTCGACCAATAGGTTAAAATTAAAAAAGAAATGAAAATTTTGTGCCTGTTTGATAACCGTTAATTTATTTTATGGTTTGCTACATGATATTTTCAATCAAATATTCATACAATAAAATATTTTATACGTATATCAAAATTTTTTCCTTATTTTTTAACTACATATCCTCTTAAAAACCACTATTCAAGACTCTTTTTCTACGATAATGGTTGTCAAACAGGCTTTTGTACTGAAGTGCATATGAGTTGGTTGGATTCGAGTTGAACATGAGCAAGCATTCACAAAAATTGCCAAAAATGGATTTTTATTTGGCCGAAGGGAGCTTTACTAGATACTTTTCTACATTGATTAATTAGATCAAATTGTTGACCGTTGATTGTTTATAATGATTGTTTATGTTATATATTTATTTTAACCAACTAGTTTGTAATCAATTAATGAATTGTGGTCCACCATTAAGTTCAAGTTCTTCAAAAAGTCAAAAAATCTCGGGATTTTGATTATGCATATAGTTAAAGGTAGTGGTGTCAATATTATCTCGTTGGGCCTTCCTGATGTGTTCGGATTATAAAGATCGACACATTAGTTTACACTGTGTTGAGTTGGCGAATTTTGGTGCATTAATTTTAACACCACATTTTCAATGTATGGCCAAATTTTTGACACACAAGGGAGTGTAATCCAAGGCGTAGGGAATATGTGTACAAGTGGATTAATCCAGTATATGAACATGTCACTTGTAGTGCCAATTCTCCCAGGTTGTAATAACCACACTCAGCTAGGTGCTCGTTTTTTCTTAGTCCTCTTTGACACAACTAATGAAATGTATTCCAACTTAGATGCATGTAAGAACTTCTAGTCATTAATTACCAATCTTTTAAAACTAAAAGGCATATTATCCTCTGACTTTAAAGTTGGTTAAAAGACGATCAATTAATTACATTGGCATCATTGAAAGAGGTTGAGTAAAAGAAATTAATAACTAAAGAAAGAACCGGACGAAATGATTTCTTAAAGGGAGTTGTCGTCGTCGTTGACGAGGATCTTTCCTTTGTCACAATTGACAATCTTATTAACCTAATTCATATGCCAATTTTTAGTTAAGACGTCGTATGTAATTAAGTGCTTGCCCGTGTCTTTTATGTATTGAGGATCTTCGAAAATGACAAAAAATTGAAAATGAAGTTTATCTACTAAGGATAATATGCAAGATTCACGTTGGGATAGATTCCTGAAATTTACTATTAATATCGTATAAATGATTGTTTATCAAATTAAACGTAATCCTTGTAGTAGCTTATCCTATGATAGTACGATGATGGACACATGACACGTTATTTGATTCTTGATGATGGTCGCACATGTTTTGCAATTTTTTGCGCTAACAAATAACTTCACATCGTAGATAACTTCACATGTTTTGACTTGCAAATCAACTGACGTGGAATCCAACGCAATTTAACATTGAAGGTTGCAATTTGCAAAAAGATATAATGTGATCCATTCAATTATGGGTAACGTCTCTTTTTTTGTTTAACTTTTATAATTATAATATACAAAATATATAGCTGCTTCTATTATTGAACAACTTGATGTGGGCCCAAATTTCTCCTCTGTAATACCTTTGTTTATTAATCTAATTTATGGAATAGCCTGTCATATGCTCTTTTCAAGAATTATAAATCAATTTTTAACCTTCTTCCATAGATTTTTATTTTTGACTCCACTTTTTATAGTTTTTATTAATTTTAAACCATCACAAGAAGAATGTTTTGAGTCACATATCACTAATTTTTCTGTGTCCTATTTGACTAATCCATACTCACACGACATGTATTGAATGTTGACAAGGGATCAAGAATGTGTTCACACCATTGTTTGATATTGGTTGGAATTGAGCAATTTGCTTTGCACACTTTCAAATCCTGTTAAAATTATAAAGTAACATCGCTCATTTTTTCGATTGACTATGACAATTGAATGGCCATTGGTGAGAGTTTTTGGAAAGTGGGCGGAGACGATAATTAAATTGACTTTCTTTTCCAGACATTTTGTTTTCGCGGAAGATGGGGTGGGGTACCAGTATATCTAATACAAAATATAAATGAGAAAAAATATCATTTGAAAATAGTATTATTATTGAACTAATCGTACATGATCCAGTATTTTTCAAACTAATCACTTGATGGCTTGACAAAGTAGGAGATATTCGTCAATAAATCTTCCACTTCGAGAATAAAATTTTGAATTGTCTATCCATTTAGCTCCATAAGATGCAACTAGTGTAAAGCAAAGAAATTTCGAACATCTAGCTATTGGAAATGAAAGAAAATCCATTTCTTTTTATATTGATAAACAATCATTTATACACAATGAAGTTCGTCTACTAATGGTAATATGCAAGATTCACGTTGGGATAGATTTCCTGTGTTTTCCAAGTCGGGAAAAGGCCATCGAGCATGAACTCCATGCCACCTCGAATCAAAAAGAAATTTCGCTTCTTGGGTTTTTTCAAGTTGGGATTGTTTGTTACTAGGGTCTACTCTTGCCTAAGCAATGTCGATAGTAAAGTCATGCAAAACTTGAGTTATAATTATGAAATAACATCTAAACAAGCATCAAAGGTAGCACCAATAGACTAACTAAATTGCTAAATTATCAAACGATCTTTCTCATATCCAACAACTTTTGTGACGTCAAATTTCATAATGATAAAAAAAATATGTTAAAGCTTATTACAAAACTTATTGTCCACTATGTTGATAACAACATAGGCAAATTGTCTTCCAACAATACTTTATTCTTGTGGCAAGAGTTTTGAGCAGATTTCTAGTGTCAACAGCATGAAATCCTTCTGGTAATGTATCTTCTGACCAGTACATCTTCAAGATTCAAGATCAAACTGGAAATCAAGAAAAAAAATCGTAATATAAATGAACAAATAATGCCATGTTCCGTATACCATACTAACGAAGCTAAAATGTTGTTTGTTGTACGACAATATTAAAGAATGAAAGAAGCTACATCTAATTTCAGTACTGCATACCAAGTCTTTCTAAGAATGGCCCTAGTGTTATTAAATATATCATGAGCAATGGTTATGACAAATAGTGTGACTGCACATCATCTTACCAAGACAATGAAACAAACTGACATTACCTGAAGGAACAATAATATATAGGAGAAAAATCATATGGAATGATTTAAGGAGACCATTCTTTGGTTGCTGGCATAGCCTACCTACTTCATGGTTTAGGAGCACCGTCTGCCTTTAAAATGAAGATCTATAGAATAGAGACAAGGATCATCAATTAACTCAAGATCAAGCATTTTTCCTTATACAAACTATTACGACTTGATGTTTGACATGTACAAGATTAAGAAAGACTCGTAAAGTCACGTTTATTCATTGTCTTGTTTTGTTTTGTCTTGTGCAGTCTAACATGTAAAGCATATCCTTATAAGAAAGGAGGCTGGAAAGGTATCTACATATAAGAAAGAGATTTAAAGAACATCCAAGTTCAAGATATGTGGTCTCGGAAAAATATGATTCACATATGAACCTCATCGGCTGCATATATGCAAGTTTTTCAACGAACCACATAATTCATCATGAGATGATGTAAGATTCATAACCTTATAAACAAGGTCATTCTCTTTATAATTCGAAGTAAAAAAAAAACATATAAATTGTATTCCTATCAGTATACTCGAAACATAAGATTGATTTGAATCGAGTATCGAAGGAAGTCCATTACATTGTATACCTTTATATCAAGGGCATGAATTATCAAAGCCATGGGAAAATCCAATAACCTCTAGATCAGAAATCCCTTACTCCTAGAGGGTCATAATCATAAGCTTCAGCAGCCTTCACGAATCTACCTTTCACTCGCTTTCTAGAATCAGCTCTAGCTTTACGAGAAGCGTACCTTACTTGTTTACCAAACCTATAATTCGAAAACACAAGTTTTTCAGCATCAGCAACCTTGAGTTCCATTGGACCATGAATTAGGGGACGCATCATACTAATGATAGAGTATTACTCTATAAACTATGACTTTTTGTTATTCTTAAGACAAGACGACGTTTTTAGAGGCAAAACTGCGTATTCATAAATTAAAAGAACAGAATGATAATATATATATGTGTGTGTGTGAGAGAGTGTGTGAGTGTGAGAAAGGACGAAAAGAATCACGCACATTCTTGTTTTCTTCTTTTCAGTGTATCTCATCTTAGCTTTATCTCTTGCTTGTTGACAACTACCTTCAAAATTCGACTCCCATGGTGCATCACCAGCAAGAAATACGGGGGATAATTCACAATCTTGAAATTCAGCCACAGTACATGCAGGCGACATGGTTGAAGGAAGTTGTCCACGGGGAAATCCTAGGCCAATATTATTTCTGGTGCAACTTGAATGCATAAGCATGCAATTAGTAGTTGCATTATTATTATTAATAGGCTGCACCAAATTAGTCGAACTGATGCCAACTTGTGAAGATTGAAAACCCATAAACTCTTGATGTCCTGACGATGATGATGCCTAATAACATAGAAAAGTCACAAGTAGATGAACAAATAGACATCTTATAATAGAATTTGAAGTGCATGTAAACAAATGGTATTGGATAAAAATGAACAAAATGAAAAAGAATTTAATTATATTCATCAAATCAATGGCACGATTATCTTGATATATCTGATAAATTTTATGTTTATTCATAAGTATATTTTGAATCGCGACTTATAATTGAAAAGAGGAATATTATCTTTGTAAGTAATAATTTTGAAGAGTTACGGGGTGGAACACAACCTCTATAGCACTTTCATTACGAGTGCTATTAGATTCAGTGACTGAAAAGTTTTTCTCGGTGACAAGGCTACTCATTCCTCCATCATCATAGTGGTAACTAGGCTGATTTTGCAATTTCTCAAACATCTCATAATCGGTGTCGAAGCTCAAGGCCATATCGTCCATGTCAACATTGCCACACAGATGACAGATCATCACTGTCATGAAGCCCAAGATCCTTAATACTATTAGGAAATCCCTGGTTCATTTTGAGATCACAATAAATCAAAGAAAGACAAAAGCAAACATTCATTAAAGATTAGTACTGTCTATTGAAAAATTGAGAGTAATAGAACCACCTCCCAGTTAAGAACCAAATAGCAGTACAATATTTAGAAAGTGACAAAAAATATTGATTAGGAAATGAAGTGGATCACCTTTTGGAAGCTTGATCCTTCATAGAAAGGCATTTGATTGTTGTAGAATAAAGGTTTTTTATCCGTATTGTACGATAATGATACGTAGTTTGGAATATTTGACTGAACGAGAGGCGATGGAGCAATCCATTGTCCAAACTTGACACAGGATGTTAACTCATTTAGCCTGTTTGCCACTATCCCACCATTTCCCTGATCATTCTGTGCCTCCAATGAGGCAGTCATTGAATTCTCATTCGTTGTACTCATTGTTCTCCAAGACGTATCATAACTACTCGACTTAGGCTCATCAAGAACCAAAGACCAAATTTTACAGAATTCGGCAAGCGAAGGGCATCCACAGTAGAAATTCAATTTCAACCTCCTATGGCCCGACCCCAAACAACCATTACCGTTCCAATCACAACCCGAACAAAGTGACAATTTACAATCCATGCACCTAACAACGGCTGGCTGCGAATGGCACTTGTCACAAATGAGAGAACGCGGATGCCGCTGAGACAATGAGGTTTCGAAGTGTACACGACCGTCACACTGCAAACAAAGCCGGGCCGAATCTGTTTCACAGTATATCACCGCTGTCGCCATCTCACAAAACTCACAAATAGGCTCCATAATTATGGGGGTGGGCTGAAGTTTCAAAATCCTTAAAATCAATCCCACATTAATATGGCCACTATTATGACAATAATTCAATATATAAAAATGGAAATGATTTGTACCTGAAACATATCTCATCAAAAACAGTCGATCCCACCAATTCATTCAAAAGAAAATACTCGATAATCAATCGTTTTAGTGGGATCAAATAAAAATGTACTCGGAATTGAGGAAAAACAAAAACAATAAGCACGCTAAAAGCTGATGTTTGTTTAGTATTTTTTTTCTCTATTACACTGTACTATTAGGAGAATATATTTGGAAGAAAGACACATTCCATATTTATCACATGTATTAAGTCTATGGATGATAGCCACGTGGCTAAATTTTGGGTTTTAAACGATCCGCCTACGACTCGCTCTCTAGTTTTGAGCAAGGGCATGGTAGGTAATTGGATGCAAAATCGAGAGAACCAATTTCAATGAGTCGAGTTGAATGTCATGTTTGGTACGTAAGTATTTAAAGTATTAAATAAATTTGAAATCTAACGTATAGAGTATATAATATGTGTGCAATTGTGAAACTCGTTCCCTCAACTTTCAACCGAATCTCATTGTAATTTCAAAATGGACTCCAATGGCATAAAAGTCTCATTATAATTGCAAAATGGATCTCCAATGGTATAAACAAGGGAAAATTACATAAATCAAGTGTTTAAGCTTCAAAGTGCAAAAATCAGGTGTGAAGATTTTTTAATCAAAATTCAGGTAATTAAATATTATATCACCCAAACTCTAATTTCTTTTCATTTCTCTCCCTCTTCATTTCTCTCACTTCTATTCCCATCCAAACCCTAAAATTAATTCTCAAACCACCTCTCCATTCTCTCCACCGTCTCTCTACTGTCAACCCGTTGTCTCTCTACTACAGTCGTCGATGCAGCAACCCGCAAGAATGGCGATGTGAGCCCCGGCGGCCCAACCTCGCACCACCGCCGCGTAGAGCATCGGCAATGTGTGCTGCAATTCGCCGTTTGTGGGAGTGGCTGCCTGTTTCACCCTTCAGATATCTGCAGTTGCCACACCACCCACCAACACTCTACCCAAGCAACTCATGCGTAAATCCCGCAGCACAAAGCGTAAATCCCTAACCGGCGATAATAATGATGGTATGGAAAATGGTTTTTGTTTTTCATTGATGGAGGGGGATTTATTAATATAAATGATGGTGATGGTTATTTTAGGGGTAGTGGGAGTGCTAGGGAAACGGTTCTGATTCAATTGAATCTGTTTGCTAAATGGTAAAAATTAATTACTCCAAAATAAGATCTGATCTCAATATGTAAGATTTAGGGCATTTTATTTTTCATAGCTTGACTTTTATTGGCCTCAGTTTTTCGGCTAGTGATTTTTCATAGCATTGGATGTTTTAATGTTACTGGGTTTTTTTTTAAAATTGTAGCTGAACTCTATTATTTTGTGGTGTTTTGTGTGATGGTAGTTTTGTAGTGAAATTGGTGGCGAGGAGGTGGTGAGATGGAGAGTATGGTGTTCTTAGTTGTTGTGAGGTGGTGGTGGTTTTGGCGACGGTGGTTTGGCGGTTGTGGTGGTGGTTCTTGCGCCTCGAAGGCGGTGGTGCTTCCGGAGGTCGGAAGTGTTGGTGGTGGTCACCAATTATCTGGTCAACTGTGACCATTAAATTGATTAATCTGTGATCAATGAAAAAGATAATTTGTGGCCATGAAATTATGAGTGGCCTAAAAAATTTGATAATTTGTGACTGGCTAATAAGTTGTGACTCATACTATTTGTGATTTGTGACTTATGACTTATTAATTTTTTGATTTGTGACATATGAAAATTTTAATCTATGACCGTAAAAAAATCTGCGACTTATAAATTTTCTGATTTGTGATCAAAAAATAATCTATGATCAATTAATTTGATAAAATGTGATCACTAAATAAGTTATGACCTGTAAATATGCATACGTGACCATGAATTGTATAATTATAATTTTAATATATTTAGTTAATAAAATTTATTTAATTAATTAACAAATACCTGATTTTTGCAATTTTTAAACTTAAGGCCTGAAAATTGATTTAGTGATAGTTAATACCTGATTTATGATTTTTTTTTCCCTATTTCAAACATTCGAGCACTAGCTGTGCCTTCGCAAGCACTTGGTCATATATACCCAACTCGAAGGTGACAACCGCCTGTCGAAGGTCATCACGCAAACCTTATTCAAAGTGTCTAGCTTTCTTTCCTCCGTGTTGATTAATAGTGGGGCATAGCGAGATAATTTTTCAAACTTCCTCTCATATTCTGCCAGTGTTAAGTTTCCCTGTCTGAACATTAGGAATTTTGCTTCCTTCTGGTTTCGAATGATGGTGGGAAAATATTTATGCAGGAATAATTCCTTAAATTTATTCCACATCAAGCTTTGTCCAGCTGATCTGGACTTGTTGGTCATTTCCCACCAATGTCTTGCTCATTTATCCAGCATATAAAGGTTGCACAGATTACCTTCCGAGTTTCCGGACACTCATTAAGTTCGAAAATTCGTTCCTACTTGCAAATCCACTCTTCTATCGCTAGTGGAGATGTGCGTCCCTCAAAACTAGGGGCTGCAACTTGCAATATTGCTCCACTATTGCCGTAGCGCTTCTCTCTACAGATGGTGGTGCAACAAGTAGGTGTCATGGGATCCAATACATCTACTTATTTAAACATAAATTTTTCAATAAAATAGGTATAAATAATTTCCTGTTATCTAAAAATTTCCCCCTACGCTTTCATCTCAGTATGCCTCTGGATTCTCCACAGGGTTGTGCTCACGGTTCTCTTAAGAATATGATGTAGGGTGGTACTCATCAATGCTAGGTGGGCTATGTGGACGGCGACGATTAGGCTCAGATCCTAAAGGTCTATCGATATTCGTAGTGTCCTCCGTGTTTATTATCCATCTATCCCTCATACATAAAATTAATACAGCAGGGGAGGCTTGGTACTCAAACATCTCTTCAAGTCTCTCCAGAAATTGCCTCCAGTATGGGCTAAGGGTCCTATGGAGATGATAGACAATCTCATCTCTATGAAATTCATGTCCATTACTCCGCGCCCCTCTGATGATTCGCTCTATGGTATCTAAATGCTCCAACATGTTGTGGTTTGGATTCCTCACATAAGTCCTATGCAACCTTATGAACATTTCACGTCTGCGGACCTGGTCTCTAGCCGATTGCGTGCGTCTATTAACCATCAAGAAAAATAATTTTTTTATAATCACTTAACTATTCAATTTAAACCAATGGTTAACCATATCTTTTCATGACTACACACGGGACATAAATCATAATGGCATAAGCACGCTTCTTATAAATAAATCAATGTCTAATTTATTTAGTTGCAATTTAATACATATCTGTCCACATAATCATTAGTTGACACATAATATTTCATAACATTGCAAAACATTAAAAAAAAAAAAATTAAGCGTGATCATAACATAGTCATCATCATATGAAATGTAATTTGTATATCTTTCTACCTGATTTAGGAGCATCGGAGCTTGGAACGTGGCATCGTGTGATGGCATTCTCATTAAAACAGTGACTCACATCATTAACAGTGTCGGGAATGATTAAGAAAAAAATTTTGAATGGAAGTCTCGAGTCACTGTTCACGTCATGAACGGTGAAAGGTGAGATTTTTTTTTTTTTAAAACAAAGGCTGAGCCCAAACATTTACTAAAAACGTGAAAGAGTTTCTGCATACATGCCTGTACACATCTACAATTACATATAAATGTGCACGTAAATATATGAAAAGAGAAATGATGGCTTTATTTTTTTTTTTGTAATTAGTTTGAATAAACCTAGAATTCTTTAGAGAGAGAAAGTCATGAAACCTACTAAACATACGCACACATAAAGTCAATATCAGAAATGAAAAAAAAAAAATTTTAATATGGAACAGTGACTGCTCCCATCACGAACTGTTCATGTCATGAACAGTGACTCGTTCATTGTTCATGTCACGATTTTTTTTTTATCTACAGAAACGTAGACCAACTCTGATATCATTTGTAAAAACCCGATTTCTCAAAAACTCATTTCTTTTAAATAATTTAGAAAATAAATACACATTGAGCCAAAAACATAAATTTAATATTCATTTATTC